GGGGGGGGGGGGTTTGCCTTAGTCTTGACCACCAGAGAAAGGGAAGAAAGACATACAGGCATAGTTGGAGAAGATGAAAAAGTACTGCATTGAGTGCCGCACAAGGTGTCCATAAGAGGGAAAATTACAACATCTGCAGGTTCAGATTTATGGACCAAGATTCTAGACTGAAGCCTGCAAATAGGCAAATTTCCTTCGGTGGGGTATTTGTTTCTAAAGATCTTAGCAAATACCATACACAAGAATCTTGGTCTTGTCCAGCTTCAGCACCAAGTCTTTTGAGATAACACCAACAAAGTTGACTGGTCTTTGGCAAATGATAGAAACCCCAATGTTCAATGCAACTCTAGACACTTGGTCTTATCCACCAGTCTTGCCTCCCATATACTGGATGAAATGGGAAAACAAGTATTGCCACACCACATACATGCGGTTTTTATCAATCTTTGGAGGCGATTTGAGGGGATCACTGGAGTCCTTCTCTGTTGTCCAGACGTAGCCAATATCATCTAGATAGGTGATGATGTCTTCAGTGGAAGGTTCACTGGATTAAGGACCCTTGGGAAGCTTGAGAGCGGTCCTTAATGTGGCTACACCAAAACTGACGGTCATCTTTTTGATGGTGAAGGATATTTTCTCCACCTGTTTACCAGTCTTGTCAGTTTCTTTTGTTACTTCAGTAGTAAGCCAGAACTTCTGGAAGACTTTTTTCACCATGACAGGTTCATGGGTGAGAGCGTATGAAATAACAGAGTTCTTGAGGAAATTTGCAGCATCCTCAAAGTGAGATGTGTTGGCAGGAATGTCAACAAGTGCAACATGATTGTTTGTCTTGAAGGACACTTCGTCAATCGAGAAGCTCACATTTCTTGCAGATATTTATGTTTATATAAGAGAAAAGAAGATATTAAGTTTGTTAGAAATCCATAAGATAAAAGTGTAAATTGTAAGTTTTGAATCGATAAAACTTCTTTTGAAAAATCCACAAGAAGATTTAGGGTTTTTCAAGAAGATTAAGTGTATAGAAACTTAGATTATAACCAAGTAATAGAATGAGTTAATTATATGTTTGTTAGTTGTTGAAGAGAACAAGTTCTTAAAGAACATAACAAAAGTTTCTTAGAAGGAGAACAAATCAAAATAAAGAAAGAAGATTATCAACCTATGATCTGAAAGGAAGAAGATTGAAAGTTTTTTGAGTGTTCTTGATTTCTTGCTTTGCAAACGTCTTTGAGGCAGAGCTTCGAATATAAATTTTGTAAGCGTAAAGAAAAAATGAGAGAAGAAGTCTTATATTTATAGGTAGGAGAAGAGAGAATTGGAAAAAGGAGAGAAAAAAATACGACTTAAAAGTTGTGCAATGATGAAAAAGTTAGTACGTTCTCTTCCACGATTAGATGGGATTTGAAGAGGGCGCGTGTGTAGAACGGTACGTGCGTCTTAAAAAAATCATATCATTAAAAAAATTAGGTCAGACGACAATTCATTTTCCATTTTGTTTTTAAAAAAAGTTTAAGTGTTCTAAAAACATATGAGATATTGAATATGAAAAGTCAATATGAGTTTTTAAGGATATCTTTTTGAAAATATAAGTTCAAAAAAAAGTTCAGTGATAAGAAGAATCACTGAAGGAATTTTTACTTTTAAAACATTGATCAATGATTAAGAAAAGGTTCAGTGATGGTTTTGTTTTAAGACAAGATAAGTATATCTTAGAGATATATTGTGATAACCAGATCCTGGTTATCACCCAAGGTAATTAATACGTGATTATCAGATTAAATGTTTATGTGACAGCATGATAAATTGTTATATTTGATCATGCTAGTGTGTGTGAAAATTATGTGTATACATGTATGAGAGTATGTGCATGTATATATGATTATACACACATGCATGTTATGTGAATGCATGGTGTGTATGGATGCATGCATATTATAAAAAAAAAATGCATGGTGTATGTGTGTGTATGCATGCATATGGGGAGTTGTATGGGAAGAAGGGGCTGTTAGCCGACCTTCTATTTTTGGAAGTGTATAAAAAGGGGGGCTTAGCCTCCATATTTTCTCTTCTAATTTTAGTTAAAAGCTGTGTGATTTAAAAGAGAAGAGAAGTGTCCGGATTATTCTTGGCTAAAGATTCAAGTGTTTGGTTTCAAAAGCTTGATAAGGTGAGTGGTTTTCTAAACTCTTTTGCAATAAAATTGTTACTGGTTTTATATGAATCTTGTTTATTTTTGGAAGAAATTAGTCTTTATTCTAAGTGTTTTATCCRGGTATTAAACCGGACAAGGCTTGTCCGGATTGCTTTAAATCGGTCAAGGGTTGGATAAGGCTTGTCCGGATTATTTTATAAATCGATGAAAGGTTGAGCGATTTAGCCCTAAATCGCCTAAGTGTTGAACGGTTTAGCCTTAAACTGGTTAAGAGTCGATCGGATTATGATTGGTAAGAAAAGTTATCTTTTGAAACTGAGAAGTAGGAATACGACCAAGTGGTGGCCGGAGTATTTTAAATCGGACAAAGGGTGAGCGGGGTATTGTCCGGACTTGTTATCCGGACAAAGATGGTGGTTTATATATTAAGTGATAAATCGTTCAAGCTTTATGCGGGGTATTGACAGGATTTGTTATCCGGACAAAGTTGAAATTTGTTCAAGTGTTAAATCGGACAAAGCTTAGGCTGTGTTGTCCGGATAGTTGACCGGATTTAAAGTCCGGCTAAGTCAAAGTTAACCGGATTTGATGTAATGTTGTGTTTTCGATGAGAAATGTTATTTTATCATAAACAGAAAGTTTTAAAAGAAATAATTTTATATTGATAATAATTTCAATGGCTGCGGTTTATTTGAAATTATTTTGTGAAAATATTTTGATAAGAAAATAAGGGTGGCATATCAAGGAGAGGTGTACCATGGGAGAAGGGTGACATATCAAGGAGAGGTGTACCATGGGATAAGGGTGGGATATAAAGGAGAGGTGTACGTTTGGATATAAGGGTGGCATTTGTATGTGTGTTGTATGATATAACTCATTCTATTATATCCTTTAAGACTACCGTGGTCCGGAGTCTTTATTTCTTTGTGAACTTAAAGATTTAGGATCAAGGTTCTTATTGGAAATTTATAGTTTGGATGTTATTGAGGAGAAAATGTCAAGTTTGGCCTGAAACTTTATATAACCTTGTTTGGTTAAGAAAAGGTTTAAAAGTGGCAATATGTAGAACCTGATTGGTTCAGAGTTTTGAGATTTGAATAAGTAGAATGATTTGCTTGATAAAAGGAAAAGATCTGGTATTACGTTTCTATTTATTCAGATATTTGTTATGTATATGAAATGATATTTCTCCCTAAAGGTTTTGGTGATTTTTCACCCTGCAATAACACAAATAGGGTATCTCACTAGACCTTTCGGTCTAACCCTCGTTTTGTGATTTAAATTATGTGTTGCAGGAGGTTCAGACAGTAAGGGGAAGGGAAAAGTTTAATATGTTCCTATATGCGCTTCTRCTTGAAGATCTGTTTTGATTGATTAGTACAAGAAATGTATTTTGAATTTATGGACCTTGTATCTGGTCATGTTAGATTCTTGTACCAAGGGACCTGAATGGAATGATATTATGTATTTCTTTTATATGAAATATGTGTTACATGCAATATGTGGGTTGGGGCGTTTCAGAATGGTATCAGAGCCTGAGTTTAAGGGATTTAGGTATTTAACAACATGATACCTAGACTTAAACTGTTTTATTGCATGTTAAGGGTCCCGGACATAGTTAGCACCATTGGAAATAAATATGATGAGTTAAAAGAACAGTGTGTAAGGTAAATTTTAATTATATCTGGCTAGTGTAATTATGAATTTACAGGTACACATCTGAACTTGAATACTTCATTATATTTGGGAATGTGAATATGTGATTATTAACACTAAACTTTGCAGATGTCTAGCCGAACTAGAAGATCTGAAAGATTGACTCATCCAGAATCTGAGGAAAGAGAAGAATCACCCGTAAATCTACCGACTAGTACATCTGAAAATAGTGGTCGGGGAAGAGTAAGAAGACGAGACAGAGGAAGAAGTCAATCTCAGGAAGGGGTCAGACTGGAACACATTCTGAAACATGAAGAATCTCACTCTGGAAATGTTCAGGAAAGATCGGTACCACATCCTGAATATATAACCAGGGATATGTTGGCAGAGGAAATGGGGAAGTTGCGGGAAAYTCTGACATYTATTATGGGAATACCGGCTAGGGTAGAAACGGAAAGAGTGGAAGTTCATCCCTCTACTTCAGTCACCCACATCAAAGGAGATATTAAGATGTTTTTGGCAT